GCCTTCTGAAGTCAGTGTCCATGTTTGTTTTGCATAGTGTTGGTAAGAATATTGTGTTGAACAGTGTTCATTTAGTGTGCATATCTTTGTCATGAGTAAATATTAGTACAACTGATAAGTAACTGGTTTGGAACAAGCAAGAAACAAAAGGGAGGTAAGTGCAAAATGAGTACTTGAGACCAAATGAGCAGAATTAACAGCTTGTACATGTTAACATCACTGGCAATGAATATGAAAACCAGAGAACAGTATAAGCAAAATGTCTTTGCATCAGAACCCACAGGGGCACAGAAATTAAGGAATACCAAAAAATACATAAAGGGAGCTAGAAATGGAAGTTAGAAAGACGAGAAATACATTGGGAGAGTTGCATGCAATAGCAAAGATTAGAATGACTTGGCCTGAATTGGTTAAGGACCTATGCTCCAGTGGGTGTTAAAAATGCAGAAAAAGACATGTTGAGAAAGGAAAGTTGTAAGTTATATTTTGACAGCAGTCATATTGACAAAATTTCATAGCATCTATGCCTTTCTGGGAGTTACATTCAGTGCAGTGTGCATTTAAGAAAATCAGTTTGCATAGCTTTCACAAAGTGTGGGACAGACTGGTGCCTCATCAACCACAGCACTGGCTACAAACTTCCAGTACAGCCAGTCTTCATTGTGGAGAGAACAGAAAAAAACTGCAGCTACTGCTTTAGGTTTAAAGTGTTAGGCCCTTACATAACACATAACATACACTTTAAGGTGCCAGTTCTCTTCCTTGCTATTTTTCCTAGACAATTTTGAGACTGTTCTGAATATTGTCTGGTATTCATTTTTTTAAGAGCCTGGCTTGACCCCAAATTGGTAAGGAAAGGAAAATTCTGCCTCATAGATTTGAACCCTGGCAGTTGTTTTGGCAAGTGCAATTAATTACTATGCCTCTGCAGCTCTTGTCAAAGTACATTTCATTTACATGTACAATTCACAAAAGTGGCCGCGGTTGAGCGGCTAGACGCTTGCCGCAGATCAGGTCGTGGGTTCGCTCTCTGGTGGAGCTGGACTGTTTTTTTTTTTTTTTTCAATCCCGGGAAGTAAAGGTGCTGGCATGATGCTGAACCACATCATCCATCTTGTGCCGATGGGTCTATAAAAATATAGGTCTAGCCCTAAATGCCTAAAGGTGTGGAAAAAGGTCCTTTACTTTTACAGAATTCATAAAACATATGTCTTTCCTAAGATTAATGTAATCATATCAAATCAATGCAAAGAAGTATCTGGTAAAAACCACACACTCATGATGTTGATAACGTTTATTCACTTTTGTATAAAAAACAAAAAATATTCAGTTCCATTATTTTCCAACTGTTATATAATTTTTGTAAAACATTAAAAATAGTGAAAAGCCTAAATCAATTTATTTTCCATGAATAAGTCATCTTGTTGTTAAATGTATTGGAATATATGACATTTCTTCAACAATGATATCAGCATCAAAGCTTTTTTTTTAAATAGCATGTTAACAACGGTAAATGTAAAAGAAACATGTTAAATCATCAAATGTGCTCACTTGTAAGCAAATATGCAGATTTAAAAAAACAAAAATATTTAACAATTAATTAGCGAGCAGATAACAAGTATAGTAAGCAAAGGATCCCTTTTCATGCCTTCAGCCTACTTGGCATAGAGGGCTAGATCTATATTTTATAGACCAACTGGCACTTGGTGTGGTCAGCATTATGCCGGCTACCTTTACTTCCCATGACTTCAATCTGTTACTCATTTAAGTCAAAACTGAGAGCTAAGGCCATTTAAAGAAAGTCCAGCACCGTAAGATTTAAACTCATGACCTTCTGATCCACAAGCGAGTGTCTAGCAGCGACATCATGGAGGCTCCAAACCAGATAAGTGCCAGTCTGCTGCTACAGTTGGTCTGGGCTTAATGCATTTTGTTATCAGTTTCCACCCAGCCTCATTGAAAACAAAATGGCCTAGGACCTAAATTTGATGACCTAGGAAAACTTGTGCTACAGATATGCCCTGTACTTGCAGTAGAGAAATCCCAGGTTTGGCTGGTTGGCAGTCCAGTAGAAACCATCTGTCTGGATCAGTGGAAGACCTGCATTATGCTAGACATCATAGAGATCTGAGGTTATCTCATCTGAAAACCACCGAGGGAGATGTGGAGAAGATTATTTTATTGGTGTCTCTGAGGATCACGGTGTCCGTGGTTTAGGCATTGTGAATTCGACTTGTAATTCCAATGTACCGCGATCGAAACCCACTGCTGGCTGCGTAGATTTTTTAAATCATGGTATGGGGTCGACCAGGCCTAAAACTGGTACCAGGATGTATGTCCTGGGGAAGTAAAGACAGCCGGCATAACGCTGACCACATCACCCACGCAGTGCCGATTGGTTTGTAAAAATATGTGTGCTCTTCCCATATGCCTGATGCACCTAAAGGCGTGAAAATGGATCTTTACTTTCTAATCTTTGAGGATCATCACAAAAAGAGTACAAAACTCAAAATAAAGAGAATGGATTGGTGTAAAAATCCAGAAATTATCAAGTATCTGTAAGAGTCTCAGTATGCTGGACTGCATTTCATCCATTTAGTGAAGAGACTTTACATGATGAAACAGAATGGAGGCTTAGACTGTAAGTCTTCTATTGTGTACCAGTGAAACAACAGGATGACAGTAAGTCTTCTATTGTGTACCAGTGAAACAACAGGATGACAGTAAGTCTTCTATTGTGTACCAGTGAAACAACAGGATGACAGTAAGTCTTCTATTGTGTACCAGTGAAACAACAGGATGACAGTCAGTCTTCTATTGTGTACCAGTGAAACAACAGGATGACAGTAAGTAGTTCTATTGTGTACCAGTGAAACAACAGGATGACAGTAAGTCTTCTATTGTGTACCAGTGAAACAACAGGATGACAGTCAGTCTTCTATTGTGTACCAGTGAAACAACAGGATGACAGTAAGTCTTCTATTGTGTACCAGTGAAACAACAGGATGACAGTTAGTCTTCTATTGTGTACCAGTGAAACAACAGGATGACAGTAAGTCTTCTATTGTGTACCAGTGAAACAACAGGATGACAGTTAGTCTATTGTGTACCAGTGAAACAACAGGATGACAGTTAGTCTTCTATTGTGTACCAGTGAAACAACAGGATGACAGTTAGTCTTCTATTGTGTACCAGTGAAACAACAGGATGACAGTAAGTCTTCTATTGTGTACCAGTGAAACAACAGGATGACAGTTAGTCTTCTATTGTGTACCAGTGAAACAACAGGATGACAGTTAGTCTTCTATTGTGTACCAGTGAAACAACAGGATGACAACATTAGATAATGAGTTAGTCTCAAGAGGGCTCTGTAATTGTGACCAGCAGAAAGAAGTGCTAAAAGCATTGTTAACCTTCAATCAATGAAATATATATATTTATTTCAGATTACATTTTTTTTAAAAGCCACATATTATTGTGTTATTTCAGGTTATAACAGTAGGAAAGACAGTATAACAATAGAAGTAATAATCATCAGTTAAGTTATAAAATTGAATTCTATAACAACAGCTTTAACTGTAACAAAGTCAACATGCAGTAGATTTATAAGTTATGAAATTAAATTATATAACAACAGTTTTAACTGTAACAAAGTCAACAAGCAGAAGGTTTATAACTTACAATTATGAACAGCAACATGACCAATTTACATATTTAACACTTTTTACGATAGATTTGTTAACACTGAAAAATATCAATGATATGTATATATGCAGATTTGATAACTATGCTCTTTATTCTTTAACACAAAGCACATTTGTTCTCGGATAGCTGTAACATAGCAACAGATGTCAGTCAACAGTCAATCATTTGTCAGGATCTAACTAGGAGAAGCTGAACACAGAGGCGCACAAACTCTTAAAATCAATAAAGACCCAGCTGGGCTTTAAAACATGAATAATAGCAGATGGAAGATGAAGAGAGGCACAAGCAAACAGAATAAGAGGATGCTGAACAACCTGGAGAAATATGTGTGTCATTTCAATGACTGAAAGTAAACAAGACTTGATGCTGCAATTAGAGAAAAACATAACAAGTCTTTGCAGTGAAACACAGTAAAAAAAAAAAATTTAAATAAAAAATACAGAGAAGGAACTCATCAATCAGCAAGTCCTTTACAGAAAGTTGCTCTCTTCACGGCACGCCTGAAAGTATCCCTTTTCCTAGCCAGCTCTCCGGCCCCATGTGCTTTCAATGACAATGCGTCCTCAATGTCTTCTATCCATATTCGTGGTGGTCGACCTCTGCCTCACCTTCCACAAACTGCACCTTCCATCACTGTCTTTTCCAAGCCACCATGCCGCTTGACGTGGCCAAAATACTTTATCTTTCGGGACAGGATGCTGTTTATGAGTCAGTTCTCCTTGATGTTCAACTCGTTCAGAATGTCGATGTTTTTCCTCTTCCTGATCCATGGTATTCTAAGAATTTTTCTATAACATTTCAATTCATCATCATCATCAGTTCTCGTTTTGCCTAGTGGCACATGAGGCTTTAGAGAGAACTTTCCATGCTTTCCTGTCCTATGCAATCTTCCGTGCAGTTTTCCATGACATTTAAATTCAAAAGCTCCAGTCTTGTTCCTCTATGACTGAGTGAGAGTTCAACAAGACTCACACCCATAATTTGCCACAGGAAAAATGCATGATCTAGAGACTGAAATTAGCTGGTTAAGGGTCTTGGCTCCACTGGGGGATGAAGGGTAGATAAAGCATATACACATGATTAGTAATGCCACATGGCATAGATCAGAGGGAGAATTACAAATTTAAAATAAAATATTTTTTTAAAAGGGGTGGGGGGGGGGATATGTAGTAACCCTTATCTGCAAACAACTTACTGCAGAAGTTGGTTGAGGGCTTCACTGGGGGAATTAAAGGCAAGGAAGACAAGTGATGACAACAGCTATCTTTAATCTTTTCTGAAAACTGATACAAGATTTACTGAAAGTTTTCAACAAAAACAAAGCCACTGTTTTCCTCCTCTACTTTACTGTTCTGTTGCTTCAGTTCCTCCATGGAGGTCTTTAGTGAAGTCTTGCTGGCCTGAAAGCTGCGGTTAGCAGATCTCAAGCACAACTCATTATTCACCCGGTTGAGAATGGTCTCTACTCGAAGATACAGCATCTCAGACACATGTGTAGACTCCTTCTGGACAAGCTGGCTTTGTGACAGACGGATGAGCTTCTTGTTCTAGAGACAATGGGAATTAATTCTAGATCACCTGCATTATTTTCTGAATGATCTTCGTAAAATTGTCGCAATCACCACACACGTCAAGACACCTAAGACAGCTCGTGCACAAAGAACCCCAGACAGACATGTCTCTAGATAGAGACAACATAGAAAGGACACCAGAAGGAATGGCAAGGCATGTTGACAACACAGGACTCGGCTGTAACACACAGCCAACAGAGAACGGTGATAAACAGAGAAAGACACACAGACTACAAAGAAATGACATACATACCATACAGAAAGACAGACAATAAAGAAAGACAGACAATATAAAAGGAAAGACTATCACATCACTAAAAAGCAAAAGAGAAAGAAAAATACAGACAGCACAGACAGAAACAACAGAGAGAAAGATGCAGAAACCCACGAGAAAAACAGACAACAGAGAATACAATTCACAAACATAAAGACACACACAAACATAAAAACACACCAACAACAGAGGAGGAAAAGACACAGAAAGAAAGACAACACAGACAACCAAAGAAATAAAGACAAAATAGAATGAAAGACAACAAAGAAAGAAGGACCACAGAAAGAGACACAGACAACACAAAAATAAAGACAGACTAGAAAGAAAGACACCCAGAAAATACAGAGAAAAAAGACCAACACAGAAAGAAAGACACACAGAAAGGCAGAAAACACAAAGAAACAATTTACAGAATGAAAGACGCACAGACAACAGATAGAGTAACAGAAAGAAAGACGGACAATACATAAAGAAAGATACAGACAACAGAGAAAGACAGACGCACAGAAAGACACACAGAAAGAAAGAAAGTTAGAGACAAAAACGCAAAGAAAGACACAACAGACAATACATAAGGAATAAAGACACACTGACATGAAAGAAAGACTCACAGACAACACAGAAAAAGACACACACAGAGGACACACACATAAAAAAACCCAGATATCACAGAAAGACAGACACACAGAAAACAGTCTAGGAAATGGGCCACCAGAGTTAGACTATGGGGGTACATCGCTGTAGCTACAAAGTTGCATGCGGGCGGCGACACAGGCGGACAGTTTTTTTTAAATCAGCTGTCCGTACTGGTGGCAGAGCACTTATGGTTTATAACCCTGTGCAATGACGCTGGTTCAAATCTCCCAACCTTTTACACTGACTGTCTGCAAATAGTAGCTCATTTAATGTGTCGTGATCTAATTCTTCCTCTGGAAAGTAGTTCTGGATCAACTGCTTTAGAACCGGCTTCTTTTTCATATTATGTTTATGTACAAAGTCAATAAGAGAAAAGAGAGCACACATCGCTGCCTCACCCCTGTATTGACTGTATCAGACATGCCTTCTTGTTCTCACTGCACTTTAGGAAGTCTGGTACATGATCATGATGTTATCTAGCATGTCCTTCTATCCCACAATCCTCAAGAATAGCCCATAATTTTTTTTCTGTCTAGTCAATCAAAAGCTTTTTCTTGATGTGTAAACACAATATTCTGTTTATCATCATATTCAATGGTTTTCTCCTAAACCTGTCTTAGTGTAAATAATGCAACTCTGCAACCTTTTCCTTTCGTGAAACAAAATTGTGATGTAATTAAGTGCTGTTCCACTACAGGTCTAACTCTCTGTTCTAATAACTTTGCACACATTTTTCCTATGCGTCTTAAGAGTGATATACCCCTGTACAGTCCACAGTCTCTTGTATTAGCTATCCTTTTCCAAATCAGTATGATCAATGCCTGCTGCCAGTCTTTGGTGGCTGTAAAATAATAATCCTGAACTCAACACAGAATTGATTACCTGTAGGTTATTCTTGAGGATCTTCTTCACCAGCTCCATGTGTTCTTCTATATTATCATTTTCTTTTCGTAAGCAGTCCTCAACATCCCCTTCGACAATCTGCAATTTAAAAAAAAATGTTTATAAGAATTGTGCTGTCTAACAAACTTATGAAAGCATTCTCTAAGCTAACTCTCAACCCATCTTCTTCCTCTTGAGCTTTGCAGTTGAGAGTCAATGTCTGAACACTGGGAGAATGCCAGCAATTCTCTTATTCTGTCTGTGAGCCAGTATTCTGAATTTCACTTGATCTCTAAGCTTAGTGCAGGAAATATACTACCTTATTATTTTTCTGCTTTTTATGGAGGCTTCCTTTTTCCTTAGGCTATTCTTTTTTTTTCTTTCACACGCTTTAAAACAATTATCTATATCTGCAATGCTGTCTCTATTATGAACTTCACTATCTGTTGTAATTCACTTAGTGGCCCGTAAAGTTTGGCTTCCACTTGTGTCTCTCTTGACCAAAAGTTTTGCCTGGAATGTCATATTTAGGACAGTTTTGAAGGATGTGATCTGTTGTCTCGGTGTAATGTACAATTTTCTGTACATGCGGCTGCCAAGTCAACTGTGTCCTGTTTTAAAGTGTAGAATAATGACTTGCTCTGGTCTGTCCATAATATGGACAATCAATTAAGTCTAGGTTGGCCACAATATCTTGAGCCAAAAACTGTACATTCCACTAATATTTTGAGCAGAAAACGGGACACCCAAGTAATTTATAATTCAACCATAATTTGACTATAAGAGATAAAGTGGGAATTATTTATCCAGTCTTATTTTTACAAATCCAATTGTTGTTTTTTTGCATCGGGTTGTTTAAAACAATGTGTATAAATAGAAAAAAAAATTACCTGTTCTATTTTTGTCAAAAACGATGGTAAGGATTCAGCAATCTTGTTTTTATGACAGAGAATAAGGGTCTCATAAACCAACTGTCGCACATAGAGATGGGTGCCAATTATTGCCTGCAATATCATAAAGAGATGGGTGCCAATTATTGCCTGCAATATCACAAAGAGATGGGTGCCAATTATTGCCTGCAATATCACAAAGAGATGGGTGCCAATTATTGCCTGCAATATCACAAAGAGATGGGTGCCAATTATTGCCTGCAATATCACAAAGAGATGGGTGCCAATTATTGCCTGCAATATCACAAAGAGATGGGTGCCAATTATTGCCTGCAATATCACAAAGAGATGGGTGCAATTATTGCCTGCAATTTCAAACAAAACCATGAGAAAAGAACGCATGTTGCTAACCCAACCCTAAATCCTCAGGATCAACGACCCCCTGTCTACACTGCCTTAAAAAGTGGTAAAACAGAGAGTAATGACAATTTTTTTGTTAACCCATTTTACTACATACAGAAAGAAAGACACACACAAAAAAGACACTAGGAGAGCTCTGCCTTTTATAACAGGAAACATATAATCAATGACTATCGCATACAATAATCAAATTATGTTACATGAATAAAAATCAATGAATGTTACATGATATAATCAGTGACTGGTACATACAATAATTATTGAATGTTACATGAAATAATCAATGACTGTTGCATGGAATAATCAATGAAGGTTACATGAAAAAAAAGCAATGTTAAAAGGAGTAATCAATCAATGTTACATGGGATAATCAATGAATGTTACTTGAAGTAATCAATAAATGTGGCATGGAAAAATCAATTATGTTAAATGAAAAAAAATTAATGACTGATGAATGGAATAATTAATGACGTTTGAATGGAATTATCAATGTTACATGGACTAATCAATGACTGGTACAAGGAATAATCAATGAATGTTGCATGAAAAAAATCAATGAGTGTTGAATGGAATAATAAATTAATGTAACATGAAAATATATATCAATGACTGTTACACAGAATAATCAATTAATGTTAATGAAATAATTATGTTATATGGGATAATCGGTGACTGTTTTACATGCAATCATCAGGGGTGATAACTTTCTTTCCTTGCCACCTTTCCATTCCAGACCATTCCTAAAAAGTTCTGTAAATAATATGACCTCCAGTTTTATGAAACTGGGTCCACCTTAAAGCTATAATAAGCTGAGAAAATCCTGCTACTCTTTGGAGTGAACCTAGACCTCTGTCTCAGCAGTATCGTGCACCACATACACTGCCACCATGGCTTATGGTGATGGATTACTAAAGTGATATTCTTCTTCTTCTTCTTTGAGTTGACCAGTTGTGAATACTAGAGGAAAGTTCTGGTTGTTCATCTACTTGTGGCCTCTGGTCTTGTTCCAGAACTTGAGTTTTTCATGCACATCCGTTTTACTGATCTGACTTAACTGTAAGACACCCTTGGTTCCTCGCCTCTTAGAGAGATGTACTACGATGCGAAATAAACATCCTATTAGTAAACTTTCATGATAATCCTTGTTATGAGGCAGTGGGTCTATTCTTTTTCCCCTCAAAATGGGACATCCAAACCCATAACCCGAGGAAATGATCTGATATAATATTATATATGCCACTGTTTATCCCACGGATTACCTCTGTGATTTGGCCACAATTAACAAAGTGAGGTTTTACTGTTACTTTTCTGCATTTGCCCTCAACAAAGGTTGTTGGCATGTTGTGTTGTGGTTTAGACCTAGGCTGCAATAGCTGCACCTCTTGGCTCCACACAAGTCATTTCAGTAAACCCTTAATTAGTCACCTTTTATGGATATGTAGAGGATGTACAACATAACATAACCCTTGACCCATTAGGGTTGTGGAGGTGTATAAATGAAAGCACTAACACAAAAAACCTGCCATCTTTCTCTGTCTTTTGCTTGATGAATAAGTGTATGTAACTTAGTACTGTCCATTTTTTTTAATGATGTTATTCCAGTTCCTTTGCCTCCCTCTTCTCTGACAACCCCCTATGTTCCTTGAAGTACAGTCTTTGCAGTCGAATCATATCTCACCATGTGCCTGAACCAAGCTAGCTTGCAAAGTTTCACCAATTCTAAGTGAGGCTCCTGAAGTCCTGCAAATTTGTATATGAGGATGTATACATTTTTCCCAAAACAATAGGGCCATTTTAGCCACAGGGGTAAGCTTTTATTAAAGATTTACATTCCGCTGAATAACATGTGCAGAGAACTGACCTTGATAAAATGTTTCAAGAGCAATGCCTGAGTTTCTGTCAGCGGTCTCAGCTTCTTTAGCTGTTGAACCGTGGATACGTACTGAGCAAGGACATCGGCCAGATCTCCCTGCAAAAGATATGCTGAAGATTTCTACATTTCTGCAGACATTTGTCTTAATCATTATTTGGAGTAATGTTGTCAACATAAAACACAAGGAACTAACACAAGCAGCATTTCTAGCAGAAATGAAATGTATTTCAGTTTTTAATAGTGTCATTTATAATGTTCTAGGGGACTATAAATATATGCTTCAAATCCACATCAAGGTGAATTTTGTCAAAACTGCCCTAGGTTTCTGGGTCAACCCAGCCTAAAATGATTAGCAGGTAATGACCTGGGAGGTAAAGGGGACTGGCATGATGTGCCGATCAAGTGCCAATTAGCCTATAAAAAAATGTAGGTCTAAAACTATCTGCCTGATGTGCCAACAGTGTGGACAAGGTCCTTTACTTTACTTTAAACTTGTATATAATTACAACACCATTACAAATAAATATAATGCAAATGTAACAAACCTTTACAATATATATATATATATATACAGAGAGAGAGAGTGAGAGAGAGACAGATAATAACAAACCTTTACAAAAAAATATAACTACACAACAGATAATGAGAAACCATTTCAAAAAAAAAATATATCTACACATACAAATGATTATAAACCTTTACAAAAAAATATAAATACATATGGTTAGGTTAATTGCGTACCCTTTACAGGACGTTGCAGAACCAACCCGAACAGCCCCTGGCTGTTGTGTGGTTTTTCTAGGCAAATTTACATCCAGTAGTTTGCCATTAATTTCTGGACGATCGGCTTTCTTGATACCACTGTCGAAACCAACGCAAGCAGCATGGCCAGCAACTGGGATCGAACCCGGCATTACGAAGCGTTCGCATCGACTTAGCCACAGAGCTGACATAAATACATATACACTTAACAAAAAGCCTCTACACCAGGGGTGGACAACTTTATTTGGGGTCTGCAGACCAAATTTAGAATTACCAGCCTGATCGCAGACCATATAAAAAAAACAAAAAAAACTTTTAAACATAACACCTAGATTTCCTCCGAACACAAAATTTTAGTGAAATAATATAAGATTATAATCATTCACCCACTAAAGCTTTTCTATACATTCCTGTTTTTGTGTTCTGTTTTTTGTGTGTGTGAGCTCAAGGGCCAGATTATTAAGTAATTTTATACCAGCCTCATGAGTCAGTAAAAACTTTTTGGCGGACCAGTTTTGGCCTGCAGGCCATAGTTTGCCCACCCCTGCTCTACATATACAAAACATACAAAGCACCTGTGCTTTTGCTAGGATTTTCACATTATTACCGCTGCTGCTTTTCCTTGTACTATCTTCCAGTAAATCTATGATTTCTTTGTACTGAAAAAAACATAATCAGTTCAAGGCAGCGTTAACATGAATCCAATAAGTAATAAGCTAATAAACATTTCTAATTATCATGACAAAGATTATCTTTTTGTCATTGTGACACTGTCCTGCTCAGGCCACTGAAATCTGCAGTTTTACTGAGACGTTAAACATTACTTATGTGGCTCCGTGGGTGGTACAGAGTTTAATGAAATAATTTCAAATTGCAATCCTCAACATTTATCAGAGTTCGAATCCTGCAGTGGGAGGGTGAAAAAAAAAAAGATTTCTCATGGATTTAATCCTGTGGTAAGATGGGATTGAGGCCACACCGTATAAAATTCCTATAGTTAGCAATGAACAGCTTGCAGCAAACCTCCAATGCTGAAACAACATCATTTTTTTAAATAGAACTCAGAATGTCTTCTCAGTCCACTGACACACCTCCACAACCACACTTGGCATGTCTCTTCTTAGTCCACTGACAGACCTCCACAACCACACTTGGCATGTCTCTTCTTAGTCCCCTGACAGACCTCCACAACCACACTTGGCATGTCTCTTCTCAGTCCACTGACACACCTCCACAACCACACTTGGCATGTCTCTTCTTAGTCCACTGACACACCTCCACAACCACACTTGGCATGTCTCTTCTTAGTCCACTGACAAACCACTACAACCACACTTGGCATGTCACTTCTTAGTCCACTGACAGATCTCAACAACCACACTTAGCATGTCTCTTCTTAGTCCCCTGACAGACCTCCACAACCACACTTGGCATGTCTCTTCTTAGTCCACTGACAGACCTCCACAACCACACTTGGCATCTCTTCTTAGTCCCCTGACAGACCTCCACAACCACACTTGGCATCTCTTCTTAGTCCCCTGACAGACCTCCACAACCACACTTGGCATGTCTCATCTTAGTCCACTGACAGACCTCCACAACCACACTTGGCATGTCTCTTCTTAGTCCCCTGACAGACCTCCACAACCACACTTGGCATGTCTCTTCTTAGTCCCCTGACAGACCTTCACAACCACACTTGGCATGTCTCTTCTTAGTCCACTGACAGACCTCCACAACCACACTTGGCATGTCTCTTCTTAGTCCCCTGACAGACCTCCACAACCACTTGGCATCTCTTCATAGTCCACTGACAGACCTCCACAACCACATGGCATGTCTCTTCTTAGTCCACTGACAGACCTCCACAACCACTTGGCATGTCTCATCTTAGTCCACTGACAGACCTCCACAACCACTTGGCATGTCTCATCTTAGTCCACTGACAGACCTCCACAACCACACTTGGCATGTCTCTTCTTAGTGCTCTGACAGACCTCCACAACCACTTGGCATGTCTCATCTTAGTCCACTGACAGACCTCCACAACACTTGGCATGTCTCCTCTTAGTCCACTGACAGACCTCCACAAAACCACTTGGCAGTCCCTCTTAGTCCACTGACAGACCTCCACAACCACACTTGGCATGTCTCTTCTTAGTCCACTGACAGACCTCCACAACCACTTGGCATGTCTCATCTTAGTCCACTGACAGACCTCCACAACCACTTGGCATGTCTCCTCTTAGTCCACTGACAGACCTCCACAACCACTTGGCATGTCTCATCTTAGTCCACTGACAGACCTCCACAACCACACTTGGCATCTCTTCTTAGTCCACTGACAGACCTCCACAACCACACTTGGCATCTCTTCTCAGTCCCCTGACAGACCTCCACAACCACACTTGGCATGTCTCTTCTTAGTCCCCTGACAGACCTCCACAACCACTTGGCATCTCATCTTAGTCCACTGACAGACCTCCACAACCACACTTGGCATCTCTTCTTAGTCCCCTGACAGACCTCCACAACCACACTTGGCATGTCTCTTCTTAGTCCACTGACAGACCTCCACAACCACACTTGGCATGTCTCTTCTTAGTCCACTGACAGACCTCCACAACCACACTTGGTATCTCTTCTTAGTCCCCTGACAGACACCACACAACCACACTTCTTAGGCATGTCTCTTCTTAGTCCACTGACAGACCTCCACAACCACACTTGGCATCTCTTCTTAGTCCCACTGACAGACCTCCACAACCACACTTGGCATCTCTTCTTAGTCCCCATGACAGACCTCCACAACCACACTTGGCATGTCTCTTCTTAGTCCCTCTGACAGACTTTCTCCACAACCACACTTGGCATGTCTCTTCTTAGTCCCCTGACAGACCTCCACAACCACACTTGGCATGTTCTTCTTAGTCCCCTGACAGACCTCCACAACCACACTTGGCATGTCTCTTCTTAGTCCCCTGACAGACCTCCACAACCACACTTGGCATGTCTCTTCTTAGTCCCCTGACAGACCTCCACAACCACACTTGGCATCTCTTCTTAGTCCACTGACAGACCTCCACAACCACATGGCATGTCTCCTTTTAGTCCACTGACAGACCTCCACAACCACACTTGGCATCTCTTCTTAGTCCACTGATAGACTTCCACAACCACACTTGGCATGTCTCTTCTTAGTCCACTGACAGACCTCCACAACCACACTTGGCATCTCCTCTTAGTCCACTGATAGACTTCCACAACCACACTTGGCATGTCTCTTCTTAGTCCACTGACAGACCTCAACAACCACACTTGGCATGTCTCTTCTTAGTCCACTAACAGACTTCCACAACCACACTTGGCATCTCTTCTTAGTCCACTGACAACTTCCACAACCACACTTGGCATCTCTTCTTAGTCCACTGACAACTTCCACAACCACACTTGGCATCTCTTCTTAGTCCCCTGACAGACCTCAACAACCACACTTGGCATCTCATCTTAGTCCCTGACAGACCTCCACAACCCACTTGGCATCTCTTTCTTAGTCCACTGACAGACCTCCACAACCACACTGGCATCTCTTCTTAGTCCACTGACAGACCTCCACAATCACACTTGGCATCTCTTCTTAGTCCACTGACAGACCTCCACAACCACACTTGGCATCTCTTCTTAGTCCACTGACAGACCTCCACAACCACACTTGGCATGTCTCTTCTTAGTCCACTGACAGACTTCCACAACCACACTTGGCATCTCTTCTTAGTCCACTGACAGACCTCCACAACCACACTTGGCATCTCTTCTTAGTCCACTGACAGACCTCCACAACCACACTTGGCATCTCTTTCAATTTACTTGGCATGTCTCATCTTAGTCCACTGACAGACCTCCACAACCACTTGGCATGTCTCATCTTAGTCCACTGACAGACCTCCACAACCCACTTGGCATCTCTTCTTAGTCCACTGACAGACCTCCACAACCACTTGGCATCTCTTCTTAGTCCCCTGACAGACCTCCACACGACACACTTGGCATCTCTTTCAGACCTCCACACACACTTGGCATCTCTTCTTAGTCCATGACAGACCTCACAAACCACACTTGGCATCTCTTCTTAGTCCACTGACAGACCTCCACAACCACTTGGCATGTTCTCTTCTTAGTCCACTGACAGACCTCCACAACCACACTTGGCATGTCTCTTTCTTAGTCCACTGACAGACCTTCCACAACCACTTGGCATGTCTCTTCTTAGTCCACTGACAGACCTCCAACAACCACACTTGGCATCTCTTCTTAGTCCACTGACAGACCTCCACAACCCACTTGGCATCTCTTCTTAGTCCACTGACAGACCTCCACAACCACACTTGGCATGTCTCTTCTTTAGTCCCACTGACAGACCTCCACAAACCACTTGGCATCTCTTCTTAGTCCACTGACAGACCTCTCCACAACCACACTTGGCATGTTCTTCTTAGTCCCCTGACAGACCTCCACAACCACACTTGGCATGTCTCTTCTTAGTCCACTGACAGACCTCCACAACCACACTTGGCATGTCTCTTCTTAGTCCACTGACAGACCTCCACAACCACACTTGGCATCTCTTCTTAGTCCCCTGACAGACCTCCACAACCACACTTGGCATGTCTCTTCTTAGTCCACTGACAGACCTCCACAACCACTTGGCATCTCACTTTAGTCCATGACAGACCTCCCACAACCACACTTGGCATGTCTTCTTAGTCCACTGACAGACCTCCACAACCACACTTGGCATCTCTTCTTAGTCCCCTGACAGACCTCCACAACCACACTTGGCATGTCTCTTCTTAGTCCCCTGACAGACCTCCACAACCACACTTGGCATGTCTCTTCTTAGACCTTCACAACCCCCTGACAGACCTCCACAACCTACACACACTTGGCATGTCTTCTTAGTCCCCTGACAGACCTCCACAACCACACTTGCATGTCTCTTCTTAGTCCCCTGACAGACCTCCACAACCACACTTGGCATGTCTCTTCTTAGTCCCCTGACAGACCTCCACAACCACACTTGGCATGTCTCTTCTTAGTCCCCTGACAGACCTCCACAACCACACTTGGCATGTCTCCTTTTAGTCCACTGACAGACCTCCACAACCCTTGGCACTCCACTGGCATCTCTCTCTTAGTCCACTGATAGACCTTTCGTTCCACAACCACACTTGGCATGTCTCTTCTTAGTCCACTGACAGACCTCCACAAACCACACTTGGCATCTCCCTCTTAGTCCACTGATAGACTTCCACAACCACACTTGGCATGTCTCTTCTTAGTCCACTGACAGACCTCCACAACCACACTTGGCATCTCCTCTTAGTCTCTTCTTATGTCTCTTCCACTACAGACTTCCACAACCACACTTGGCATCTCTTCTTAGTCCACTGACAACTTCCACAACCACACTTGGCATCTCTTCTTAGTCCACTGACAACTTCCACAACCACACTTGGCATCTCTTCTTAGTCCACTGACAACTTCAACAACCACACTTGGCATCTCTTCTTAGTCCCCTGACAGACCTCAACAACCACACTTGGCATCTCATCTTAGTCCACTGACAGACCTCCACAACCACTTGGCATCTCTTCTTAGTCCCCTGACAGACCTCAACAACCACACTTGGCATCTCTTCTTAGTCCCCTGACAGACCTCAACAATCACACTTGGCATCTCTTCTTAGTCCACTGACAGACCTCCACAACCACACTTGGCATCTCTTCTTAGTCCACTGACAGACCTCCACAACCACACTTGGCATGTCTCTTCTTAGAACACTGACAACTTCCACAACCACACTTGGCATCTCTTCTTAGTCCACTGATAGACCTCCACAACCACACTTGGCATCTCTTCTTAGTCCACTGACAGACCTCCACAACCACTTGGCATGTCTCATCTTAGTCCACTGACAGACCTCCACAACCACTTGGCATGTCTCATCTTAGTCCACTGACAGACCTCCACAACCACTTGGCATGTCTCATATTAGTCCACTGACAGACCTCCACAACCACACTTGGCATGTCTCTTCTTAGTCCACTGACAGACCTCCACAACTACACTTGGCATCTCTTCTTAGTCCAATGACAACTTCCACAACCACACTTGGCATCTCTTCTTAGTCCACTGACAACTTCCACAGCCACACTTGGCATCTCTTCTTAGTCCCCTGACAGACCTCAACAACCACACTTGGCATCTCTTCTTAGTCCACTGACAGACCTCCACAACCACTTGGCATCTCTTCTTAGTCCCCTGACAGACCTCAACAACCACACTTGGCATCTCTTCTTAGTCCCCTGACAGACCTCAACAACCACACTTGGCATCTCTTCTTAGTCCACTGACAGACCTCCACAACCACACTTGGCATCTCTTCTTAGTCCACTGACAGACCTCCACAACCACACTTGGCATGTCTCTTCTTAGAACACTGACAACTTCCACAACCACACTTGGCATCTCTTCTTAGTCCACTGATAGACCTCCACAACCACACTTGGCATCTCTTCTTAGTCCACTGACAGACCTCCACAACCACTTGGCATGTCTCATCTTAGTCCACTGACAGACCTCCACAACCACTTGGCATGTCTCATCTTAGTCCACTGACAGACCTCCACAACCACTTGGCATGTCTCATCTTAGTCCACTGACAGACCTCCACAACCACACTTGGCATGTCTCTTCTTAGTCCACTGAAAGACCTCCACAACCACACTTGGCATGTCTCTTCTTAGTGCTCTGACAGACCTCCACAACTGTTTTATGAGGCGTGTAAAAAAAAAAAATAGTAAGTCCTGAAATAAAATTTAAAAAAAAACGTATATAAAAAGGATTTATTACAGCCAAAAGTGAACCACACATGTGCATTATTTCTTAACACAGTCACTTTTGACTTCAACACATTTTTGGTATCGTGGCACCAGGTTCTTAATTGCAATGTCATTGAAGTCAGCTGCAAGTGTCTTGCCATTTGCCCCTGTCTGCAGTTCATCATCAGATACAAACTGCTGGGAAGCCAGCCACTTCTTGAGGTGCATGCATAAAAAAAGTGGTAATCACTTGGCACCCGATCTGGGCTGTAGGGCGGGTGGTCAACAAATTCCTAGTGAAATATTCGCAACGATTGTTTTAGAGTGCACACAATTTTTGCATTCATTATTTTTCTGTCACAATATCAAAATTCAGTGAACATGAATCTTCCAAAAATTTTACAGACAATGCAGAAATTGTGAAAAGACGATTTTCCTGAATTTGTTCATTTCTTCCACCAAATTATCTGTCACCACACTCGGCCGACCACTATGATCTTCATCATGGATATTTGTTCACCTTTCTTTAAACATTCGACACCATTTCCTAACTATACTATTAGTCATAACCCCTGGTCCATTAACCCCAAAAAGTTGCCTGTGAATTTCAGCAGCACTGTTGTTTGTTGCTAAAAAACAAAAACAAAACGAATCAAAGCTGGCAGGAGTATTTATTTTTGCACTTACTATAAATGACTCACATGCAGCATCAAACAGGATTTTACAGCGAAATAATAGCACACTGCTAGCTAATGAACCACATAAACATACTGCACATGCACATTTACGTTTTCCATCAGTGTTTGTAGCTGCTGTCAAAATGGGACTTACTTAAAAAACGCACCTCATGTAACCTGTTAAAATGTCTGCTTATTTATTTCCTGTGACCTCAGCATAATCCTGCATACAAAAAAATGCAGTTTTTATAACCAAGGATTTCTGTATTAAATTAAACTTTTCTTCTGTGTGTATCTGGTACATATACGTTTTTTGGCTATCTTTCGAATAACGGTCCCATATGAACTACGCAAACAGTTAACCTAAACAGAGCCTCACAACACAGACAGTTAAACCAAACAGAGCCTCACGCATATGTAAAAGTCGCATTTCTTTTGCGGCGATTCAACCGTGTCAAAAGTAGTATTAACTGCGCACGACATTTTCGCAAAACGCAAAGGATTTTTTTACGGCGACTAGATGGCGGCAAAACAAGGATTAACTGCATACGAAAAAAATTACCGACATGCAACAATAGTCCCCATAGCGCTATCCTACGGCAGGGCCCGAGTTATATGTAAGTTACCGATCGCTGTTCGGCGACTATAGTGCCACCTCCGAGAGTATCCCCTGCGCCGCTACGCGCGGCGCGGAGGAGGCTAAACTAGATGGCTGGGACTCACGAGCAGCAGCTACCGCAGCTCCTGCAGCTTCCTACAAAGTATTTGCTCGTGAGTCCCAGCCATCTAGTTTAGCCCCCTCCGCGCCGCGCGTAGCGGCGCGGGGGATACTCTTGGATGTGGCACTACAGTAGCAGGACAACACTCAATACCTACTTTTTCCGTCGGAACTGCCACCCTGGTCACAGTCGCGACGGTCAAGGGGTGGTCGGAATAGTGTAGCGCCATAGCAGCTGGTGGTTTGAAGTTGTCCTGAGGCGACTGCTGGTTTGACGTTGGCTCGAGGCGACTGCTGGTTTGAAGTTGGCCCGAGGCCATATGCGCGTACATTACAACGCGCAGTATTGATTATGTCCCGCCCGGAACAAGACTTGCGGACAAGTCGCGTCCTGTTGACATCGCGGACAGCCAGAAAGAACAGATATTCGGGCGCTATTGCTATTTGCAACGTCTGTGCCACAATTTTTACGTATAGAGGATGTCAATATCGGTAAGTAGTAGAATTCCCCCGTTTTTCTGATACTTTTCGTTCCTTATATTTCCCAAGTTACAGCTTTCAAATGTTTGTACTGTAGGACGTAATGAGGCTCTGTTTGGGTTAACCTTTTTGCGTAGTTCATTTGGGACCGTTATTCGAAAGATAGCCCTTTTTTTAAAGGAAGTTCCCTGAGGCACTTAAAATTTCACAAGAATGTAGTCCAGCATTATCAAAACATATAATGCCATTATCAAAGCTAATGGCTAAATTGTAAGGATGCTAGAATGATTACATTAATTAGAAAGCCACCAATTCCAGTACAGAATGACTATCATCTTTTAGACAAACAAGACATCATTATTCTGCACCTCCAAACATGACACAATCAATTATTAGCCAGAATCAAAATGTTGCCCTGTGCACATATGATCTGGGGCTCAGCATAATACACTCCAAGACTACCTTGAATACTTCATATTAAGACAAAACATTTAGCCTAGCGGTGCAGCAGGGAAAATTTAACTTACACTGAAGTTGAAAAAAAATTTTTTGTTACTGAGCACATATTTTGTCTGGTAGTTGTCAAGAAAAACTGCGTCTGCAGCAAATAAAAAACCTGCCTGTGAATATCATACAAGCCTATTACCAAAGCATTCAGCCACGAGTGCATTCACTTCAGATGTCACAGCTAAAGTAATCTGCCTTCTGAATCTCTAACAAGAATGACAGTTAAGTAAAGTTTCATGCCAGAGGTGTTCAGGCTTTTGAGGCTAGATTCATATCTAGAGAGATCAATCAGCTCTCAATAAGCGATGTGATCAACATCACACCTGCCACACTTACTTCTCAGAACATATCCAGTATCCATTTTAGGGAGCCACGGTCGTAACAAACATGATAGGAAAAAGAATTCTCTGAAATTAAAAAACTTGTAATTGTGTTTAAACATTAAATTACTTTCTGAAAGAGTACCTTTGGTAACTGAGCCCTGACACGGTTTTCAGCTTCTTGGAAAGTCTCATTCAGTTTGTGCAGTCTGTCTAAAAAATCTGTCTTCACTGATGGGTTTAGCTCTTCTCCATAAGCCTGAACCTGTCTGGCTTCCAGGATGTTCCTGCACGAGCGACACACCCGCAACGGCCAGCAGATTTCAGGCTCCACAGGTGGGCACTGGTCAATCACACATAACAATGTAACATGAATTATCAGTCAAGGGATATTCGTCACATGTTATACTTCTCATGTTAGTCCCAGGGCCCTATCGTTGGGGGACAAGAATAAACCTACTCCCCACTAACAAATATATGATAAGTGTTGAATAATTAGGGATGTTTCTTTCAAAGTTAGAGTGAATCGGCCTGAGAGGGTGAAGAACTATCAGTCTGCATACAAATAATCTAGATCTGTAAAACATAAAATTCATGTTCTGGAACAAGACCAAAGTCCAGAAGTGGATGACACACCCAGAACTCTCTGCTGGAATTTACAGTTGGTGAACATGAAGAAGAAAAAGAAGAAGAAATTTTATACCATTTATTAGAATGATGACATTAAAGTTACACATAACATGAACACGTTATGCATTTACCTCACAAAATCACCTGTCATGGACCAATTAAGTTTTTAACTTCCAGAGTCTTTTTTTTTCTTTCAAACAGAAAACAGGAGAAAGTTATGGAAAATTTGACAGAAAAAGAGCCATAGGGACACCCAAAAAAGATGACTGATAGTACAAATGACAGGTTGTGGATAGACAAGATTAACAATCACATAGTGATTGACTACAAAGAAAAAGAAGAAAATCACAGATTTTACCAGAATAGCACTGAATTCGGCAGGTCAAGGTTAAACAGCACCATGGCCTGATGGGGTCAGGTATGGCCACATGAAGGCTTTAAGCGATGTAGACCTGGCAGAGTTGACCGACCGCTTTAACCAGAGTATTAAGATAGCATCGGTACCGCAGGACTGGGTGCACAGCTATCTAATCCCACTACCAAAACCTTTTAAAGATCATTCAAAGCTCAGTGGATTTAGAATCATCACCTTACAAAACACTTGGAGAAGATAGTTACTGTAAAGCTGCAAGAATTTTTGGAAAGGGGAAAGCTTCTCCCAAAAGGTCTGGGAAGCTACAGGCCAGGAAAGGACACATAGGCAAATGCGGCCACTTTTGCTTTTAACGTTTATGAAGGGTTCCAGAACAGACAGGAAACTATGGCGGCAGCACTGGATCTCGAGGATGTTTATAGCAGAGTAAGATACGACATCTTGATGACCGCACTAAAGGAGAAGGAGGTCAGTCCATGGCTGGTGAATTGGGTTGCAGCTGTCCTGTATTCATGTCCGGTTGCTCTCCGACTGGGCTCATGGACCTCAGAACCATGCACTTTGGCCCCAGGACTGCCACAGGGATCTGCCATCTCGCCTGTGCTCTTCAACGTGTATACGAGCAAGATTGCAAGCCTAGAAGCACCAGGAGATGGAAGGATACTGACTTTTGCGGATGATATACTTGCATATAGGCAGGGGGAAGAGAGGGAACAAACAACCCGGGAGCTACAAGAGACAGTAGACAAAGTGACTGAGTGGTGTACTAGACAACAGGATCGTTAGAGTTAATGTTCCAAGTCTCACAATGGTAGAAATGTCAACAGAAAGAGCAAACTGATGTATCTGGTTTACATTTGACAGGGGCCTGTCCTTTGAGGACTATGTGGAGAGTGTTTTATATTTGGCTAGAACACTATGTAAAAATCTAGCTATGAAAGTGGCCACTTCCACTGTGTTTTGTAATTCATGAAAATAATACACTAATTTTGTCATAGCATAACCCAAGACCTTTCGACCTGATGGGTAAGTGGAGACTGGAAAGTAAACAACTAATACAATCATTCATTATCTTTTCTTTCTATTAATCCTTAAAAAAAACATAG